CCACCTCCCCGCCAATCAACGGCATCTATTAAAAGAGCTCAAGTCACTGCTAAGGAAATAAGGACAAAGACTTTTCCTTGTCTGTGACCCGATATCCTCGGGGCCTGTTGGTAAGAGTATGAGTGACATCTTCCATGCTCCTTCAGAATTGCTCTTCCCCCATACTTAGGAACCCTTGTCCTGGCAGCAGCCCTGTCCATAGGCTCCTTCCTCAATGGCTCTTTTGTCCCACAGGGAAGACATGTCTCACAACTGTATCCCCCATTTCTCAGAGATCCCAAAATTATCTCCTTTCAAGGTGTGGCATGGACTTAGTTTCCAGAAGATCTGGCATAGCCACCAACTCCCAAAATTTGCCAGAACTTTCTCAGTGGTAGCACCCAAAGTTCCAACTCCTGCAACTGCTACTCTCACTCTCCCAGGCATCTCAGGACAAAGGGGGCCTCACCAGAGAATCAGTCTTTCAAATAATGTTCTCTACGTCAACGAATTGTTCAGAATCTGTTCCTAGTTCCCTGCTGTCTGTCCCTGTACACAGGCTGTGCCTTCAGGGCTTGTCATCTGTTCTGGAACCTTGGCCCAGGCTGAGCCCTAAGCAGCCAGGACACAGCCCCAGTGGGAAGGGGCTTCTGCAGTTGGGAACCCACAGCAGGGCCCTAGATCCCAGCTCTGTGTCTGTCTTGTGATGGTTGAGGTTGAGCCTCCTGTGAACTTTGTGTCTCTGTGGATACTGGAAGGTGTCAGAATCTAAATGGCATCTCTGTCAACTGGTGTCAAAATCATAATAAAAATAAATAAGTGACTGGGAAGGTCATCAGGTAAGGTGAGGCGGGACCTCAGTTGCGACAGAGGAACTATTGCAAGGGCTCACCAGAATCCCAAGCCTGCACAAAAGGCCCTGTCACACCACACAGAAGAATGTCGCTGTGAGGCACATGACCTGGAGCTGCTGATTTGACCTTGGGATGATGTTATTCTTGTTAGCAACCAGTATGGCTAAAGACAATTTTTGAAAAGAATGTAGGTAACCCCCTTCCTTTAATTTAATTTTTTCTTTAATTAATTGATTATTTTTGCCATAGGATGCATCCACTTGCTAGAGCAAGAGAGGCAGTGAAAAATGCAGAGCATGTGGGCACGTGGCATACACAGGGAGACCTCAGGTCATAAACCCCAGACCTTCCCATGTGACTTCAGCACCATGAAGCATTCGGTTATCCCTGCAACTCCGGAGTCAGCCTCTTCCTCCCTTTTTAATGAAGCTGTTTATGGCTGTCATCTTCCCACTCGGTATCGCTTTCCTGCATCTCATTAGTTTTCATCACATTGGGCTTTTATTTGCATTTGTAGTAAGTTTTTAAAACTTGTCTTTGCAGGACCAGCAGTTAGCGTAATGGCTATGTCGCTGGACTCCCATGTAGTCGACTGCGGTTCGAGTCCCAGACCCAGTGGCTTAAACTCATGCCGGGCATGTGTGCAAGTGTGTGCAAGATCCCACGAGGAGAATGGAGGAGAAGGGATTGCGACATGGCCATCCCCTCTGGGGGGTGATTTCTCGCTTTCTGTCTCTCTGTCTCTCTCTGTCTTTCTGGCGAGTGCACACGCCCTATAGAAAAAAACTCTCAAAAAAAAAAAACCCCAAAAAACTTGTCTTTGCATTTCCTTGTGACCCAATGGTCTTCATGCACGTGTTGTTAATTTCCACCTCTTAGTAAAATGGACATTTTCTTTTCTGGATTTCATTAATTTGTGTTTATATTCCATTGTACTCAAAAGAGATTCTTCAACTTTAAACTTATAAAGACTTGTTTTGTGCCTTAACCTGTGATCTGCCCATGGATACCTGAGAAAAGAGGTTGACAAGACAGTAGGTCTCCTCCTACCATTTTTCTAGCCCATGCACCCTACTGGGGTCATATTCATTTCACATCTGATGTTCTGTCAGCCAGGAGCAAGAGCTGCTTCGTGTCCACCAACCCTGTGACCAGGCCCCTCTGGGTCATGAAGGAGGTCCTAAGTTCGGGTGTCAGAAAGCCTGGTTGAGGCAGGGGAAACATGGCATTATGGAGGGTCAGTAATACACGTGTCAGGATGGATTAGCGCTATGGAGGCTGGGACTGAGCTGGGAATGTGAAGAGGGAGGCCACCAGGGAGATGGACCAGAGCAGGGATTCCTGC